ACGCACCCCAAGAAGCATGATTCTATTTTCGTGGTTGTCGATCGTTTCTCGAAAATGGCTCACTTTATCCCCTGTAGCAAAACATCGGATGCGTCCAAGGTTGCCATATTATTCTTTAATGAGATTGTCAAACTGTATGGGCTTCCCAAGACTATCGTGTCCGATAGGGACATTCGCTTCACTAGCCACTTTTGGAGGACTTTGTGGCATAAGATGGGTACCAAATTAAAATTTTCTACAGCCTACCACCCTCAAACTGACGATCAGACCGAAGTCGTTAATCGGAGTCTTGGTAACTTATTACGTTGTCTGGTCCGGGAGAACCTTCAGAATTGGGATTTAATCCTTCCTGTCGCTCAAATTGCGTATAATAGCTCCGTAAATCGTTCTTTAGGTATGAGTCCATTTGAAGCCGTTCACGGATACAAGCCTAGGAAACCATTAGATCTCATCCCTATGTCCTCACAGGCTAGAGTATCAGTATCAGCCGAAGCATTTGCACAACACCTTCGTGATTTGCACATTGAGATTAATAAACAACTTGAAGCTAGTAATGCAAAATATAAACTACAAGCTAATCTACATAAACGACATATTGAGTTTAATGTTGGGGATTACGTTATGGTTCGCATTCGGCCAGAGCAGCGTCTACATGGACCCGCCTCCAAATTGCAAGCTCGTAGTGCTGGTCCTTTTAAAATTTTAAAGCAAGTTGGTCCAAATGCATATATTGTCGACATTCCATCCCACATTGGTTACCACCATACTTTCAATGTTGAAGACCTTGTAGCTTATAAAGGTCATTTCTTTCCCTCAGATGATCCTCTGTCACCTCCTTTTGTGGACCTTGATCCTAATTCTTTGGCCCCCTCTAACCCACTACCACCTCTCACAGCACACACAGATAAAATTGATGCTATTTTAGATGAAGAAACTGTGTTCACTAATGATGGAGAGGTTCAGCGCTTCCTTGTTCGTTGGGTTGGTCGACCAGATTCTGATTGTGCATGGATCTCCAGGGAGACACTACAGCATTTGGATCCAGATTTGCTAGAGCTTTATCGGAGTCAGCAGGATCTTCCTTGGCCCAGACCGCCTCCCGTCCACCCGAGAGGAATTGATGAGGACACCAGGTTCAGACCGTCACTGACGCATTTCTACAGACGCCGGAAGAAACTTGCCCAACCACTCAGCTTATGGTTGGGAGATTGACGAGAGTCTACGGTGATATATCCACTCGACAGGGTCGAGTTTTCTCCCACCCCGGGAGAGTTGATGAAGACATCCTTTTATTATTGTTTCAGTTGGACTTTTATTTAAGTTTACGTATTTTAGTTAGGACTTAAATAATGGGCTTGGCCCTATATTTCTAGGTTTTTATTATTTAAACCTATCTTGGTTTGTTATTTTGGATTGATGAATTTGATGAAATAAAGAGTTGGCTTTGCAGCCGTTCCCCTCTCTTCCCGTCTCTGTCTTCTTCTTCTCTTCCCTCCTCCATCTCTTCCTGTTATTTACTGAATTATTAACCTCCCTACATCACGTCCGATCATATGACGGGCTCCTTCCACCTTTTTTCCAAATATTCCACTTCTGCCGGCAATATCAAGGTTAAAATCGCAGACGGCTCACTCTCACCTGTAGCAGGAAAAGGGGGTATTCGAATATCTAATTTTATAACATTGGAGTCCGTTTTCCACGTTCCAAACCTATCTTGTAACTTATTGTCAGTTAGCCAATTAACGAAAAATTCCAATTGCTCAGCTAAATTTCTCCCGTCTTATTGCATTTTTCAGGACCTATCATCGGGGAAGACGATTGGCAGTGCTAAGGAATGTGGGGGACTTTACTACTTTGAGGAAGCAGACGTGAGTAAGAATAATCAAATTGCAAATTATGATTCTACTTTTGTTCCTAGAGATAGTGAGCTTTTGTTATGGCATTTTAGAATGGGTCATCCCAATTTTCAGTATTTACGTCATGTATTTCCTTCCATGTTTTCCAATAAAAAGACATTTGATATTCAATGTGAACATTGTGAACTGGCAAAACATCATCGTACCTTCTTCCCAAAATCTACATACAAATCTTCGAAACCATTCACCTTAATTCACAGTGATTTATGGGGTCCTTCACGAATTCCGAATCAAACGCACAAGAAATGGTTCATAACATTTATAGATGATCATACTAGAATATGTTTGGTTTATCTCCTAAAAGAAAAATAAGATGTCACATCCGTATTCATAAATTTCCATTCAATGATTCAAACACAAATTCAACTATTGCGTACTGACAATGGTACAGAATATTTCAATCTCACCTTGAAAGAGTATCTCCAAAAATATGGAATAATTCATCAAAGTTCCTGTGTCGATACTCCATAACAAAATGGCATTACTGAGCGGAAAAATAAACACCTCCTTGAGGTGGCTCGTGCTTTGATGTTCACCACAAATATGCCAAAAAAATTTTGGGGAGATGCCATTTTAACCTCGGTCTATCTCATCAATAGAATGCCCAGTCGCACTCTCTCCTTCAAATCACCACTCCAAGTATTTCAGGAATTCTTCCCCAATTCCAGACTTGATTCGAGCTAACCACTCCGCATAGTCGATTGTACTGCTTTCGTTCACATAAACCCTCACCACCAAAGTAAACTAGATCCTCATGCACTTAAATGCGTGCTCATTGGATATTCATCTACCCAAAAGGGCTACAAATGCTATGATCCATCCACAATACGAGTATTTGTTAGCATCGATGTCACGTTTTTCGAAAGAACCCCTTATTATAAAAAACCCTATCTTCAGGGGGAGAATTTAAGTAAAGATCGGTTCTCAAATCAAGATCGATTCTTCAAGTTTAATCTTTCCCCTAGTGAACCTATAATAAACACCGAATCCGAATCAATTACTCTTCCTGGTCCTAACATGCCATCTACAAAGGTAAACTTAAACTCAGGGGGAGATGCTGAAAAACAATTTAGCAAGGAGATATTAGTTTACTAAAGAAAACCGAAATCAATGTATAAGGAGAACCTCACATCTGAAGCACCAAAAGAGTTCGAACCGATGATAGCTCCAGAAAGTGATCTACCTATTGCTCTCAAAAAACAATCTCGATCATGTACTCTCCACCCTATCTCAAAATTTGTTTCATATAACACTCTATCTGCAAGATTTCACACTTTCTCTTATAACCTTGATAATACAGAAATTCCAAAGAATATTCAAGAGGCCATGGCTACTCCCAAATGGAAAGAAGTAGTTTTGGAAGAAACGCGAGCACTGGAAAAAAACAAAACTTGGAATGTAGTAAACTTACCAAGGGAGAAAAGACCCGTCGGGTGCAAATGGGTCTTTCATGTGAAGTACAAATCTAATGAGACAATAGAACGGTACAAAGCTCGTCTTATTGCATTCAAAAGGATATACACAGACCTACGACATTGACTACACAGAAACATTAGCCCTTGTAGCAAAATTGAATACAATCCGAGTTATCTTGTCCTTAGTAGCAAATTTGGATTGGCCTCTCCAACAGCTAGACATCAAGAATGCTTTCTTGAATGGAGAATTAGAAGAATAGATTTTTATGACATTACCCCAGGCTTCTATGAAAGCAAGGAAGAAAATAAGGTATGTAGACTCAAAAAATCCTTGTACAGTCTCAAACAATTACCAAGAGCATGTTTCGATAGATTCGCAAAAGTATTGACAAGTCAAGGATATCAACAAGGGCAGTCAGAACATACAATGTTCTACCAGTTATCTGAAACAGGGATGAAAACAATCTTAATTGTTTACGTTGATGACATCATATTGACCGGAGATAATATAGTGAAAATAGAAAGGCTTAAGAAGAGCCTAGCCACGAAATTCGAAGTAAAAGACTTGGGACAAATGAGATACTTTTTGGGAATGGAGGTTGCCAGATCAAAGAAAGGCATCAGTATTTCACAACGAAAGTACATTCTTGACCTTCTAACGGAAACTGGCATGCTTGGCTGCAAACCAAGTGACACACCAATAGAGACAGGAAGAAAGGAAGAAAACACGGGAAAATCAATTGAAAAGGACACATACCAGCGATTAATTGGCAAATTAATCTATCTCTCACACACTAGACCTGATATTACATTTGCAGTTAGCATTGTTAGCCAACATATGCACTCTCCAAAGGAAGTTCATTTAGAAGCAGTATACAAAATTCTTAGATATCTTAAAGGTACTCCTGGAAAAGGACTTTTCTTTAAGAAAAATGAAAAGAAAGAAATAGAAATCTTTAGTGATGCAGATTGAACTGGTTCAATAGAAGATAGAAGATCAACTACAGGCTATTGTACCTTTGTATGGGAAAATTTGGTAACTTGGAGAAGTAAGAAGCAAAATGTGGTAGCCAGAAGCAGTGCTGAAGTCGAGTTTAAAGCTGTCGCATAAAGAATATGCGAAGGACTGTGGATAAAAAAGTTATTGGAAGAATTATAGACAATGGTGAAACTTCCAATAAAACTTTATTGTGACAACAAAGCAGCTATCAACATCTCTCTCAATCCAGTTCAACATGATAGAACCAAACATGTGGAAATGGATAGACACTTTATCAAAGAAAGGGTTGAAGAAAGGACCGTATGCATGATCTATGTGCGTACAGGAAAACAAATTGCAGATATCTTCACCAAAGGATTGCTACGACGAAATTTTGAGGAATTTATTTGCAAGTTGGATATGATCAACATTTACGATTCAACTTGAGAGGGAGTGTAGATATTCCGAGATTATGGGATAATTAGGATTTGATTATGTATGATTGTATAACCTTATTTAGATTAGGTAATTTTTTCTCTTTTCCATGTATAGGAAGTTAACTTGTTGGCCCTCTTCCTATGCTATATATTGAGGCTCTAAGATTGTAATTAAAGTGTGAGAAAATATTGTATAATTCATCTATACTTTCGTTCCAATTTACAAGAATATAGAGATGGAGAAAGAAAGGACCTCCTGGGGCGAATGCACGTGAGATTTGTGGGTCCCATTCAGTGGTTTGGCATTCTGATCATAAGAATTTGCAAGAATTGAAATCATCCGTCTCAGAAGATTCCTTCTGAAAAGAAAAATTGCTGAAACTCCTTTAGATTTGAAGTATTCCACTATTTCTACATGATGTTGCGTCAAACCCTGCAGCATATCACAAAATTAACAAATATCTCAGGCTACAATATTCAAACTCATGCTAAACACAGCGCAAGTTTATGACATATTTGGTAAGGGGTGTTGGTTGGTTAGTGGACAGTAATATGGAAAGGAAAAAGGCTAAAATCTTTTTTATGTACTGCCCAAAACTACAAATCAAACATAAAATGGGATAAAAACCACACACAAATTGGGAACAAGCTCGGCCAAGAAGCGAAATCCTTTTTCTTATATATGTTTTTAAGCTGTGGTAGCTCCACTGAGTTCTCAAAGAATTTAACAATGTTTTTAAAATCCTCTCTCTTACAAATTATAGAATTCACAAGACAATTACTCCGACTACTGTAAATTATAAGTTCAAAATATTAGAAATCTGCATATTTTCACTTTCCTTCATGTCGCTCTTTTCAGCAGGATATAAAGCCTTTATATTTCTGGAGCTGCTTGCTTCTATCCAACAATCTATTCATATATATATATATATGGACCTATAAAATTTAAGATCTTGTATGGCACAAATTATTAGACCTGATTACTGATTATAAATTATTTAGCACAAATTATTTGACCTGATTATAGATTTATATAACAAATAATATGTTTGATGTTCAAGGTGCTTTACAGAATATTGAAGGCAACTCTTATTAAAATCCTATAATCGGCAGATTAACACTATTACACGAATTATGGCATTTCAAAATATGTTTCTAACATTGCACCAAACAGTGTCACATAATTATTTCACTAATTATTGTTTTGACAATCATTTCAAGCGACCATATTACAATAACATTACAGGGCATAAATATCTCCAAAGCACCAGAGGAATTGCTGATAGCCATAACTCACCTCCCCAAAGGGGGAATATAGAAAGCACAAGAAAAACAATTAGAGATTTGCCTCTATGCTTCTTGTTAATATTATGGAAACCCTTCAAAAATGCATTTGAAAGTTAGTTCATATAGAATCAAATTTTCAATTGATCCCTGTACTTGAATCTTATGGATGAAGACATGATCTCTCTAGATTCCTTCGTCAAGTCAGTCGATGAATCTTGAAATGAGATATAATCCACAATAAACAAAGGAAACTAAATGGTTTGGTCAAAATGAATTCTTGTTTTGGCTAAACAGTTACGGATGACTTGACAATTTTCTATCTAATCGACCAATCAGGCATATTTTTCCACATTCATAGGAGTGCATGTCAGAGGAGCCCTATAAAGATCGTATTATTTACATCTATTCTTGGGGAGTCAAATTCTTATCGGTAAAGGTTTAGGGATCAACATGATATATTACCATAACTGAGGCAAATAAGAAGACCAACAAAAAATATGCTATGCAAATCTATAATATTATCCAGGTAATAGAAATATCCAAGAAGTCGACAGCTGGTTTGACCATTTAACCTAAAAGGTGCTGCAGGTGTAGATGATATATGCATTGACATAAAATTCTGATAACTGTGACAACAGGCAGAAAAACACGAACACCTAAATTGTACAGTATAACAAGGTGGAATATTATTAGTAAGAACCATATCGAGTTATCAAGAAAGATTCTATATTGCATATTTCACCAGCAGAATTGTTTGATCCGCTGCCAGAAATACAACAAAATATAAAATAATCACCAGCTGTAATTTAAGTAGTCTTCATAATTTTGTAAAGACTGATTTCTTGTGTGTATGCAGGATTGCGTATTCCATGTCAGACATTTGTGTAATTTGAATTCTACTATGTGGTTATTATAAACGTAATGACTACAAGAAGATCCCTACAAATTGCAACGATAGAATTTTTATGAAATAAAACATAAGCATTCGCAAAATGTCTTGCTCATATGGAATTGAAAATAAATCATATCAATGTTCTATATTAAATATCAATGTGACAAATAAATTCATCAAGGAAAATGTACTTATTGTATCTATTCAGGAGCATAGCGACGTACGCATATAGTTATTGCAGGGTAGAAGCTGGAAAACTTTATGCGTAAATCACCTGATTAAGCATCCATTTCAGTCCAACTGCAGCCGTGCACTCATTCTTGGAGGCACTAGTCAACCAATCTAAATTATAAATTTTATCCAATGTCTCGACAATTGACGATGCATTACTTCTTCGAACCTTATTCGAGAAAATCTCTCCATTGGAGGTAATGTTAATATGACTGTTTAACATTGTTTCAAACCATCCACTCCCAGACCTCTGTGTAGACAAAATCACAAAATATTGCACAGGATTGCACCCACACTCGGCCCTAATTCATCACCAAAATCCTACGAGTAAATCTAACAAAAATTGCCACTAACAATCGGAAAACAGAAAAGAAAAGAAAGTGCAGTGAGGACAATGTAGTACCTGGCAAAAGTCTTTGGCTGGGGGAAATGCAAGTAAGGTTTTTCAGATGGTTGAATTTCAGGTACTTCACACAGCCTCTCTACCACTTTAACACTCAATACACGTCCATTAGAACGTGCATTTATTTGCCTCATGCAGATTGAACATATATAAACCCCACAGACCATGGCAAAAAGCAAGACGACCATCCTTAACACCAATGGAGATTTCTTCGGAGGTTTTATTGTCAAGCCATCCTGAAACTCAAGTACATATCAATTCAAAAAATAAAATAAAATAAAACAGAGCATATTATAAAAATAACTTTCAAAATCAAATATTCCCAACAGCCCCCGCTCCCAAAAAAACAGGTGATCAGTTTAAGTATCCAATTTTCATTTTCCATTAAAATTGAAAGGAATAAAAGTGTAATACTAAGAGGTGAACACATAAATTGACCTCCAGCCAACAAAAATATATAAAAAAATTCAACCATTTAAGTAAGATTAAAGAAAAAACTATACATCGTGTGCCCTGTTCAAGCTTCGGATCATCAATAAAAAATCCCTAAACAATATTCTAGAATTAAGTCCTAACCATTTTAGTAACATTAAAAACAAAACAAGTTGTCGCAACAACATATGCATTAATTTACCAAAATGCAATACTAAATCATTCTAGCAAATCCCATAACAGATCAAAGAAAAACTCATATTCTCCAAGTAATGCACGCATGGTTCGAGGACTCAACTCCGTCATTGGTTCGTAACGACTGTTACTGCTCTGATTCTGTCCATCTGTTCGTGGAGAGGCATGCTGCTCCTCATATCGCTCGATCACAGACTGGATTCCTCCCTGACTTGCTGCTCCTTTATCGGATCTCTGAAACATATTGTTTCACCTTTTGTACTTTCAACACCTAACACCACTATCCCACCGGGCGTGCCAAATTGTTTCGCGCGGGTTAGTCGCTAACAATTAAAAAGGATCAGACGATTGTGTAAGGAACAAACCTCTTGAGACAAAATCCCAAAAAGGGGTGTTCTTTTATTGGCGATGACTTTACAATTGGAAATTAAAAACAATGTGCCTCCAAGGGGCGCAAGCACACGAGTTACTGAAAGAAAAGTGTTTAAATCTAAGCTAAGGAAATGAAAATCACATGTTCTCTGTTCGAGAGTTTTTGATTCGGTCTCTTACTTCTATGTCCTTTCTCCTTTTTATACTTCATGGACGATCTCTTTGTGATCAACCGTCCTAAAAATTGCTTGATCGTCCTATAACTGCCCACTTTCCTCGTAATGGCCAACTTGTCATGAAAACTGCTTTTTTTAACTGCTGCCATTACTCTTCATCGTTCAACCGCTTTCGATTGAATTCCTTGAATCGTGGAACGTGATAGGGCTGCTTTAATAACTGTTTTGATAACCACGACGCTTTATGTTTGTTAAGACCTTGGGCAACTTGAAGGTTTGGGCGAGAATAGAATAACAGCTCTGGGTGACTGTATGGCACTCTATTCGCTCAGATTCTGGCGACTTGCAAACTTGGACGATGACGTTACCGCGTTCTTGGGTCTCCCTATTTGGGTCTTCATCTTGATTTGTTTGATTGGGTTTCGTTCTTTGGGCTATCTGATTTGGGGATCCTCCAATTGAGCTTCACTCCTTGGGCCTCTTGATTTGGGCTGAATTTTTATGTGACTTTATACTATTTCTTTGAGTCAATGTTTAACTTAGTTTATGTGTAGCAATTAAGATCATCATCCTTGATTAGTAATATATTATTATTAATCAGGATTGAGTATCTTAAACAAGAACAAATGATCATAAGAAATTAACTAGGAGCTAGTACTGCTAGTGCATCCTAGATTAATCTATGCCCCCAACCACTGTGGGCTTAGACTCTTTAACTCATTTATTCGGTTCATCATATCGGTGAAACACTCTTTCATGTTTCTAATTTTGCTTCGACCACCGTTTTTTAGAATGAATTATATTTCTGAGAATGACAAGTTTCAATTGAATGACTTTCTTTATAAGATTATAGAAATAATATCCAATTACTATTTAGATATTCCACAAATCCAACTAAGGCTCTAACTTATCCAAATTATCTCAAGACTAGAAAGATTTGGCTATTTACATCCATATTTCATACAAAATTTTATCAATGATGTTAGATGGGATGCAATTTAGTATGTAGCACAAAGTGTTTAGCGCATAGCCTCACAAAAAATTTGGAGATTCTAAATGACTTCATCGTTGATTACATCATTTGCGATTTCTCCTTTTAGGCACACTACTGTGCCATGGCATATGTGGTGGATACCTTGCCAGAGAATCATTTTTCTCTTAACATAATCTTGAAAGTCACCACTTAAAACATTCTTTACTTTGATTTGATCTAAGTATTCGAATATGTTTTCCATTTTGATCTTCTATTTCATTTATGAATTATTTGAAGTTTAAAAACCTTCAAATATTAATTTCATAACAATATATAACTTTGACTATTATGGTTATCTATAGATATGATAAAATGAGAAAGACCATCTCTGATTCTAATTGACATATACCCACTTACATCCGAATGTAACCAATTACATCCTTAATCATTTTCCTCTTTTCTAGTAAGAGATGACTTGGTCAATTTACCTTACAGATGACATTTGCATATCTCACATAATTCAAAATCAAATGAGTCGAAGTATTGATCATTATGTAATATGGATAAGCATATCTCATTCACACGACCTAATTTACAATGTTAAGGATAGAGTAATTTATTTTACATCGCTGAGGGTCAACGTCAATTAAAACGTAAGCAAAATGACCATATTCGCCCTTGAGTGTCGATTCATCAAAATGTAACCTTGGCGTGGATATGAAAAAAATCCATCGATTCCAATACCAAGGAGTCGCACAATTTTATATAAATCGTTTGTGAATGAATTTGTACTTGTTTTTCTGTTCCAATCTCAACATTTGGCTTGTACCAACTAAATAAAGAATCTAAAGTAACAATTATAATAACTTAAACACATGGGAAAAATGACCTTTGATCAACTAAGAAACCACCAAAGGATGATGGTGTGCAGCCAAACTTTATTTACAGTTTCTAATTGAAAAAAAAATTGAAGAAACAAATAACTTAACATGATGGGATAGAAGACCTTTGATATGCTAAGAAATCAGAAGTTAAGATGATAGTTGAACAAGCGAGTGTTTTGAGAAGTTTAAATCTTGTGTTGAATAAATTTTACTCAAAGCGAACTAGTTATGGCGACTGGCCGACAATTATTATTTAGAAGTTTAAATATTTTACAAAATTATGGTTTGACACGATTAGATCTGTTGAGGCAGTTAGGCTACAGCATAGTGTATCACTTGAGTTGTACGTTCATGCGGCAATTCATGCCTAGTTGACTTAACATATTTTAACACCTTAATGTAAGTGATTTGACCTCATGCCAAAAATGAGGTGAATATAAAATTTGAATAAATAAATGTTAGGTTGTAACTCAAATTCCATATGATTTGGAAGTTTAATTCATGGAGGAAGCCTAAATAATTTTAGTTTGGAAGTCTATATTGATAAGAAATCAAATTTCATCATGAATTGAAAGTTTGATCGGAAAAATGACTCTAGAGAGGATGAAAAAGTGTTTTAGAAGCATTGGATCAAAAACAGGGCACCTAAACTCTGAAGCAGCAAGGCGCAATTTTTTTGTGTTCTACTTCATCCATAACTTCAAAATTTGGCTCCTATATATACTCGTGGTCTAGGCTCTTTATAGACTAAAGGCAACATTTAGATCATTGTTGTATACATTTAGAAAATATGAGAGAATTGTTTAGATTTAAATTGAAAGCATCAAATCTTCTAAACACATTCCTCTTCTTTCACATAAATCTTGTTGTATCCATTATTTTTCATATTGTCCTTAATTTCTCGTCTTTATTATTTGGCCCGATTTCTCAACAAATTGGTATTAAAGCGATTCTAGTATATTGTTAGGTTTCTAAAAACGAATTTATCTCATCTCTAACTCTTCAAAAGTTTGAGACGTTACTTAAAGGTCTTAAAGTAAAAGCACATTATGAAAAAAAAAAAAGACCATAAAACTAACCTTACAATTTCTCAAAATTCTATTTTCCTCCATCTTCGGGCATTTTCAAATGATGAAGATGAGGATTTGACGGATTTTTTCTTGACTTTTTATAGTTTTAAAATTTTATTTTTTTTGATGGATTTTTTCCCATCCCTATCTTGAGTCCCATGCCATCTACAAATAGGGTTCAGGAAAAGAATCAGATTCACATGGATGGTGGATTTAGGTAAATGCAAAGTAAATGTCGAAGATGGAAGAATGAGTTATGTGTGTAAGTATTATGCCCTAGGTCCAATCGACTTTGGACATAAATACTTTTATATATAATTAATGCAATTAAATGGCAGAT